ACTTCGCTGTTGCGAAACAATTAATAGAATTTATCAACGCAGGGTGAAAAGAAAGACTATTTTTAAAATTGGCACAAACTTTGGAATTAATAGCAGCCTAACAACGTTCAGTGTATTTTTAGAACGCCGTAGGAAACAGAGAAATCCTTTTGTGAAGTGTTTGCGTTAGCAACAAAGATAGTGTGAATGGATAATATACGTACACTACAAAAAATGAATATAGTTTGATGTAACTTTAAAATTGTTGTAAAAAGTTTTTTTTTTAAAGAGTTGTACTGTGAAATAAACAGTAAATTGAATTGAACGGTATGTGTTTACTGACTGAAATATTCGCGCTATCCGAGTGAGAGCAAAGGAGGCTTAGAACCGAGTGCACTTGACGGTGACGTCACGTCCGAACTCGTCGAGGGCGATTGGGAACAAGGCTGACAAATTGCACCACGATTACCACGATAACAACTATTCATACGTCTCCACCCCCTAACCCGTGTTGGGCGCTGGGGAGAGAGAAACGCCCCCACGGTTATGACATTTCAGACTAGATAACATACTGCTCCAGAAGGCTGTGTATAAAAGTGGGAAGGGGACAAGGGGACGGGGACATCGGGACGCGTGTGTGGGGACTTGGAACTTGAAGACGCGAGACGAGGGACTTGGGGACGTCAAGATTGGGACGCGGGGACGTGTGGGACGGGGACGAGGGGACGTCAAATACAGGGACGCAGGGGACGCGGGATGTGAATAATTATTGCAAGAGTCGGAAGTAAATGCGATATCAGTCACTTTCCTCGTGAATATGTCTTGGTGAAGGCAACCCACCCTGCCCTCCTTAGGGTTCCTCCATGCCTGTTTACGAAGCGAAGACTCGGAGAAGACCCCCTGCAATGAAGAAAGTGAAACCGTTGTCCTCGTCTTCTTGCTGATGGAATATTGGAGCCCAAAGCAGGGTAGAGTGGGTTGCGGTCGCCAAAATTTATGTAGAATAACAGCATTCGATTCCAAATAAATAAATAATTAAGTGGCATAAGCGAGCTTCGAACCCCCCAAGGGCTATCTCCGAAATCCATTGCCTGTACCACTAATCCACGGGGATTCAACTCTTCCCCATAATACACTCTGTTTGCCCCCCAAATTTTGCATAACTTATTGTCTTAAAATGCTCTTGGGAAAATGCAATACTCCCAGGAGCATTTAAAAACAATGGTTTATGCAAAATTTGGGGGGCAAACAGAGTGTATTATGGGGAATTCGAAAATAGAGAATATTTATTTTGCTCTACATATTTTTAGTGGCAAACCTAACAATAAGTGCTTGCTAACAGTACTTAAAAGTTGATTTCCACTGACGCGTTTTTGGCTATGCACGTTAACGCAATTACATTTTAATCACGTAAATAATATAGGCAAGATATAAATTGTTGAGAATAAACGTGAAGTTGAGCGAGATTCTACTTTTACGCTTACGTGCGACCTTTCAGACATTGCCTCTATTTTACGTGCAAACGTAAATTTTACGCACGTAGGCATGGAAAAATTACGCGACAGTGGAAATCAACCCTAACCCTAATCACGATAGGCAGTGCGCTTACTCCTATTATAAAGAAATATTTTGTGTAAACATCATAAGGTGTCCAATGTGGTTTTGGAAGATGAAATCTAATGTTGACCATAAATAACACATTTTCACGAAGAAAGAGATATCGCATTTTCCTCCGACTGTTGCGATAATCATCCCGGGTCCCCTGCGTCCCAGTTTTTGACGTCCCCGCGTCCCTGCGTCCTATACTTGACGTCCCCAAGTCCCTCGTCTCGCGTCCTCCAAGTCCCCAAGTCCCCGTCCCCTTGTCCCCGTCCCACTTTTATACACAGCCGCTCGAGAAGCTTCATTTGAATGTTTACATCATAACCTTTCATCCACGATCCACAGACTGTTGGGAATTAAGAATCCATTGTTTTTTGAGTTTCTCTAGGGAAAAGTTCGATCAGGTATGCAGTATGCTTTTTCCAAAAAGAAGCTTTTGAGATTCTGTGCTTCGGCCCAACAGATGATGATCATAGATTCTTTGAATTATTCTCCTTGAACAAAATGGGACGGCGAAAGGCTGATATATCGCTCAACAAGATTCTGTGATGTGAACCCCAAGAGCCACCAAGCCAAACCGCTTCAACATTTCTAACCTGAAATCAGGCGTTATTTTTTTTTGCTTCTTTGGCCCAAGAGGGAAAAAATAACGCCCTCCTTCCGAAAGCAGGTTACAGAGATAAAGGGAGAGGGCATGATCGCAGGCTACTACATTTCAGGCCCAGCTGTTCGAAGGCCGATTAGCGCTAACCCGGGGTTACAGTTCTTTTTTTCTTTTGCGCAAAAGCATTTCCTCGGATATATTTTGCTATTCTCTTTAGCGTATCCAATCATCAAATTGTAGACGAAAAGAATTAAACTGAATTAATTTGTCTTTTAAGCTTTTATATCTGAGTTCGCACTAACCCTGGGATATCCAGCTTAACCCCGCTTTGAACAACCCGGCCCAGGATTTCAGCAAGAGCTGTTTTTGTTTCTGTCATGTAGAATATGTTAATACCAGAGTCAATTACGAGTACACGCACTTAAGTTCTTAAGTTCTATCTCCAGCCCAACCTAAAAGCCCTGGGAACGAGATTGTCCGCCAGCCCTGCGGCGTCTTCCCAGGCTCTCTCGTTCAATTCGGTTATTACTAGTCACTATTTCTACTGTCATTGAACGTTGCATTGTCATTAAATTCGTTTCCAACAAATCAATGTCGTACGTCGTTGTTTAAAGGGACAGGTTCACGGTTAAGCGCATGCTCATTAATTAAATTACTTCTTTCCAATTTAATATTAATTCTATCGGTTAATAATCCCACTGAAATGTATCTGAGCGATCTCAGAGTGTATTTCAAAGTAGAAATGTCTTTCAGAGTAACCTAAATTAGGATGGAGGAGTACTAAAATCGCAGAAAAAATTAGTGGATTATGCCAACACTACCAACGTTGAATTTATTGTTGACCCGAAGGTTTTATTCCATGGTTGATTAATTCACAGCTATTTGCAAATATTTAAGTTGATCAAGTGCAAGTGCCTGCCAGGGGAGTTTTCAGATCAGAGAATTAACAATTTATCGATTGCGCAGTTTTCATGACGAGATGATCATGTTGCTTGCATACAGCATTTTGAAAAATGAGCATGCGCTGAACCGTGAACCTGTCCCTTTAACGAAATCTGATTTCGAACAAAACAATCTTGTTTCCCTTCAAAAAAGATACCCGAGGGCACCTCTTCGTGATAAAAATGCAGAAGAAAAAAGAAACTTAGAAGGTGTTCCATTCTCTTGGCCAGAAAATTCTTCTCGTACATTTCTCGCTGGATGCCGCCAGTTTTAACGCCGCATAGTCGCGAATTAAGTTTCCTTCACCGCACTCTAACGAAACCTTCGGGCTACGCAGGTTACAGTTTCCAAGAGTAGCCCAACAAAATATATATATTAAAATAACACACTTGTAAAAACAAACACGCACTAAGTTCAGTAGAACTCTCCTTTATTTTAGATTGCTCTTATTTAAAATTTAAAATTATTACCACTATTTAATGGCGCGTGTGCTCGTGCAAAGTTACATTAGGTGAACACCCTCAAAACCTCTGTTTCTTTCCCAAACTCTTTTAGCGCATATTGTAACACAACTTTTACTTTCATAACAAAGGTACATTTGTTAGGTAAGTATCATTACTTTCTTTCAATTAAAGGGCTTAAAAAAATTCGTACATACGCTTAACTGAAATATTTTCTTCATGTTATTAATGTCGGTAAATAATTAATCATTACTTTATTATTCCATTTAGTTTCGCGTGCTATTTGTTATTTTTGAAAAATAACTAAAATGATTGACCACTTTTATAAGTATTATTGAACACCGCATTACAAAACAAAATAACGTCTTATAGTTTTCTAAACCCTTTGGCCTGGTTGAAGTAAATCTCTGTCATTTGACGTTTTAATTTCGGGAGGACTCAAGACCTCGAGCCAGGCGAAACTTACTCAATACAATACAGGGTGCAAGAAAGTCATTTTACAGCTTGCCATTCGGGCAAGCTGAAGCTAGCATTTACTAGCCCAAACATCATTTCAACTAGCCCCAAAACGGTCTTGATGAGCAGACTTGATTCACAGTTCTTCTGTAATTTGAATTCCAAAAAAAAACTTCATTTGCCTGTCGGGCAAGTTAAGAACAGAATTCACTAGCCCGATAGCAATATCCACTAGCCCCGGGCTATCGGACACGACTTTCTTTGCACGCTGAATACTATATTTAAACCATAACGATATGACCGGATACCTCTTCGGTGTCCTATGGGTCATCATATCAGAATTCCAGGAATTCGGGCACTTCATGACCAGTGGCTTATCGAGTGCAACCAAGACAACATAAAGGAAGGTCTTCAAAAGGGTTCTTCAATCTCGTAATCCCGATGGTTATTATTCAGGGGCACTCAACGAGAATATAGATTAAAACCACTTAAACATAGCATTGTTAAACACATTTAGTGTTTAAACGGTAGATATCGGCATATTTTTATCCCCTAAAAATTTTTCATCTGTTCGGATTTCCTAGCTGAAAGTCTAGTGATCCGAAAATTATAGGGATCAAAACTTACCTTTTCGAAAATGTCAGCCAGAAATTTTGCATAACTTATTGTCTTAAAATGCTCTTGGGAAAATGCAATACTCCCAGGAGCATTTAAAAACAATGGTTTATGCAAAATTTGGGGGGCAAACAGAGTGTATTATGGGGAATTCGAAAATAGAGAATATTTATTTTGCTCTACATATTTTTAGTGGCAAACCTAACAATAAGTGCTTGCTAACAGTACTTAAAAGTTGATTTCCACTGACGCGTTTTTGGCTATGCACGTTAACGCAATTACATTTTAATCACGTAAATAATATAGGCAAGATATAAATTGTTGAGAATAAACGTGAAGTT